ATACTAACTAAGGGCAGTGGTGGTGCAGAGGTTAGATAAGGTGAGCCTTTGATCTGAAGGTCGCCAGTTCAATTCTCCGGTCCAACAACATCAAAATGTGAGTGGGAAAATTGAAGCACCCACACCAGTCTCCACCCTCATTTGCTCCCTCTGGGCCGTGAGCAATGCCCTTAACCCCCACCAGCTGCTCCCCCAGTTGCCCTAGATGCAGCTCTCTGCTCCACTCAGAGGGCTGTGGTAGCTCGGTGGTCTGTGTTTGTGTCAGGAAGGACATCCGGTGTAAAAACAATCACCAAGTCTTCATGAAAGTTATTGTTTGTTTTGTTTGTTTGTTTTGTTTTGTTTTTTGAATGTCCAGAGGACCAGACTTAACTTCTTAGACTTTACTACCTGGATTATTGAGCATGCATCAGGATATTTGCACGAGTTAGTTCACTGTGGCTAGAAGGAAGCAGCCAAAGCAGAAAATAATCCTAAAATTAGTGATGAAATAGATTAAATAGTTTTGACAAAATGTAATCATGTTTATCTAGTGGGGTGAGTAAATCTTATCAAATCTTGTGTGTACAGTTATTAAACCGTAGTAAAAGGACATAACTGTCATCCTGTATTCACATGCCAGCAGCCTGTGTGTTGGACGCCTCTGGTCCCCGCTACAGTCGAAGTGTCCATCAGCACATTTACAGCTTGTGCGAACACAATAAAAGCAGGGGCCTCTCAGGCTTCACTGTCTGTGCTTTCAGAGCTGCTCTCTAAAACTTTGATACTGACACAAACTGAAGTAAAGTTTAGGGGCAACATTTTTAAATGAGTTAGTTTGATTGCGTACATGTCAAAGTGCAGAAGTCCGTCTGGTGAGTTATTGATTGATCGGACTGCACTTGTGGTTAAAGGGGAGTTTCAGATGGAGGGCAGACGTTGGCTGCTGTCAACTGAGAATCAACACGTTTGTTTATCATTTGTGGTAAGTCTTGAAGTTTTGTCATGCACAGTTTGTCAATCTAAACTTAATCAGCTCATGTGCTCCTGATGCTAACAGAGCTTGTTGTCATGAGCAAACTGTTGCCAGAATAAACTTGAGTGGGGAAAAAATTTATATTTTTGGTTGGGGGGACAAAGTCATCATGTCCTGATGAGCCAATAGTCTGTTTAAGTTGATCAAATGGTTATTTGATGCACAGACAGTTGTGTTCAGTTTGGTTCTAACTGCAGTGTATGCTGTTTTTCACAGAGAGGGGAGTCACTGTGCAGAGATGGCTATGGTATGCCTCACGGACTTTGAGGATTATGCCAAGGAGCATCTTTCAAAGGCCACCTGGGATTATTATGCAGCCGGAGCGGATGAATGCTGCACCAGAGATGACAATCTGCTGGCTTATAAAAGGTATGATGGAAGAAAAAACTGTCTGTCGTGACGTTCATTTGACATGTTACATATCTGTAATGTTTTGAATAAAATTATTTTCATGTTAAAAATGTCAACAAATGCCATTTCAATGCAAATTACATCAAGAAACCAAACAACAGAGCAACTTTTCTGAATGTATCACTTCATTAGAAGTAATATGCACAACCAGCATGCGTGAGCATGAGCATGAGCATGCATCAGGATAATATGCACAACCAATGTGCCCGTTACAGGGAATTTAAAAAAAGTTACAAAACTGAAATTGAAGCTGCAATATAATAAAAGAAGACAATAATACAGAAAGGATTTTTAAAGTTATGACAACATCACATTTGTAGTAGGACTGGACTCAATGAGGAAGTGAGGAGATGAAAACAAAACTTTTCTTTAGTAGAAAACAAAGGCTGGCGAGGCAGCAGAACTAAACTTACAAAACTGACCATCACATGGATGCACAAGGAAACCAGAAAAATCTTGATGTGGCATCAAGTGGTGATGGCAAGAGACTGAATATGCAGAACTAGGATGATGAGGCCTTGAGACAGCTAAACTAATACAGACTGGAAACAGGCGAGAGTGGCAGGCTGACCAGTAAAACACTCCGAGCTTGACTGAGGAGGAGTGACACATGGCACAGGGAGCACAGGTGAGAAACAAAACACTGACCATCTGAAACGTTGGTTACGTACTGTAACCCCAGATTCTGAGTATAGGCGCAGCCCTTTAAGACTGTCGCTAGTGGGTTTATCCCTAGGCGCTCAGCGCTGCACTGAAAAACTTTAGTCCACGCCCACCTGCTGTGTGGGCCTCACCCCCCGGTCTGTATAAATTACGGTGAGACCAGGTAATCGGCTCCCAAAATAGCTTTTTTCTTCAGCCATTTAGGAACAGTGAGGCCCAGAGCTTAAAGGGCTGTGCCTATACTCATAGAATCTGGGGTTACAGTACGTAACCAACGTCCTATTTTGTATAGGCATCCTCCTTTAAGACTGTCGCTGGTGGGTTAAAGGCGAAGCAGATGTAGTCTATGCCTCACTGGGTCCACTCAAATAAAACATTAAGCACCTGCTTGCACAAAATAAACATTTCATCACTCAGCCTTCTGTGTGTGTAATTACGCGCTGCGTAATTGAGTGCTCCATGCGCAGGAGCGCACCAGGGAAGATCTCTGGTGAGGAAAAAGAAAAGGCTGAGATAGCAGACCTGCTGCTGTGAATAGGAACAACGGAGGATACAAATTGTAACAGTGTAACGATGAACAGAGCAGACCAACAGCTCCTCAGGATGAAACGATTAATAACGATAAAATCAGCAGTCATGAACTTGAGACTGATAATAAATATCTCACACTGTGACTGCATGCAGGCAGGTGTGAGCTCAAAAGTGAGGCTCCATGAAACAAATAATCATTCTGTCAGAACCCTGAGAACAGAATGGGTCATGGAGAAAGTAGAAACATCACGTAGATAAAAACAAATAAATGAACACAGTGATGACCAATCAGCCGCAATACAAATATCCTCCACTGTCATCCCTCCATGCAGAGCCATGGAGGATGAAAACCCTCTGGCGGAATGTGCTCTGAGATTCTCTGGAAGATCCAGTCCAGATGAACTGTAAACTTCAGAAATAGCCTCACACAACCAGTGTGAGAGGCGCTGGGTGGATAGAGAGCGTCCTGAAGAGCTGTTCCTGTAATGCACAAACCAAGGGCGTCAGAAGCATCCGTAATGTGGGGGGGACACAATGATGTGTGTAGGTATGTGTGTGCACGCGTGCACGTGTGTGTGCGCATGCACGTTTGAGCGCACGTTAAAAAAAGGTGTTCACTAATGAACAAAAAAGCAGCATTTCACCTAATTTCCTTTAATTCCACACATATAAAACATCCAAAAAAGTTCAATCTGGTCCTCTGGACATTCAAAAAAAACCAAAAAACAAAACAAAGCAAAAAAATATAGAAACATTTCATCTCTCATCCAAGAGACTTCCTCAGTCTGAGGTGCTGTTTTCAGCTCAGTCTCTTAAATAGCACCTTCTCAGAGTGGATCAACCAGTTTGCTGCTGACAACCAAAACCAGCTGCTCACATGCTCAAGAAGGACCATCATCCTAACAATGGATCATTAGCACCTGATGGCTGTTTACTGTTCACAGAGGGCTGAGTGATACTAGCAATCACAGCATTGTAAGAGGGGGACAGTTGAACCTGGAGGCTCCACCCCTGTTTAATGATGGACGATTTCGAAATCGAAAGTGTGTGTGTGTGTGTGTGGGGGGGGAACACGTCTGTTTCCACCAGAATGAGCTTTGATCAGAGCATTCAGGACCATCATTAGGTCTCACTGTGAAGCTAGTGGACATGGCACCGGTCTGTGTCTCCGTACACCTTTCAGCAGTGGTGGGATGTAACTAAGTACAAATACTTTGTTACCGTATTTAAGTACATTTTTCATGTACCTGTGCTTTACTTAAGTAGAGTTAAATGTGGGTACTTTATACTTTTACTCGACTACATTTTACATCAAGTATCTGTACTTTCTACTACACTACATTTCTATATTATGTTACAAGTTACATTCATGTTGTGGCTTTTTGATTTGTTTGTTACTTTGAAAGTAACCGATGGTGAGAGGGGAGCTGGTCCATTGAATCACTGCAAAGTGGGCAGGTAACGTTAGGCCCGCCTTCAAGAAGAACTGGGCCAATGACATATATTCTACTATATATGTCACTGAGCTGGGTACACCCGCAGCACCACTAACACACCCAAAATGGATTCCACCACAAGAGTCAGCCAGAAGATATGCTCCACCCATGGCCTTATTGAAAGACTGCTCAGTACAGCAGGACAGATTCTCTCTCCCAAAAGAGCCAGATTGAACTAAAAAATCTTTAAAAACCAACTTCTTCTGAACTTGAACAAGAAATTCTTGCTGCAATATTAAAATGTGTCAGTTCTTGATGTTTGGAGACAAAAGATGTCTTCAAATGTCTCGACACTCGGGTCTGAGTTTTAAAAATGGTGTCAGGAAGTTAAAATATTGTTCAATATTGACCCATTACAAAGTTGACTTATTAAGTACTTATTTACTTTTACTTAAGTAAAAATGTTAATGTGATACTCCTACTTTTACTAGAGTACATTTTTGTCTGTTTATTTGTACTTTTACTTAAGTACAGTGTTTGAGTACTTTCGCCACCACTGCCTTTCAGGAAACGCTTCATCAATGGGTGATTAAGAACTGTTTTGTCACTGAAACCCTTGTGACAGGAAGAAACAGCTGCAGCATAAGTTTTAATTGTGCTAAACGCTAAATTTCTGTCCATCAGCTGCTACAGAAAGGACAGCATGCCACCTAGTGGCCATGAGATGGCCTCCACGCCTTTCTCTGCACACCAGCGCTGAAAAACTGTCTACTTGATGTGTACAGCGTTGTGGTGGAAGCAGCTCGTGTGCCCTGAACGTATGCACCACATCCTGTGGCCCATCCTGTGGCCCATCCTATGGCCCATCTTTTCTAAATGGATCTGTTCAGCGGACAGACCCAAAGATGCTGACCTATTTCTGGGTAACTCCTGATCGCTCTTCCTGCCTGACGGTTTATGTAAACTGCCATCACTTGTATGTGTGGATCAGAAAATGCTGATCCTGCAGCGGGAACAAAATGCTGAGTCACGTTTCAGACCGTGAAAAACATTCTAGCACATTATGTAAAGCGACATGTGGTCCAGCCACTGTGCTCCCACTGCTTGGGACAGAAACATTCCTCCCAGCTTGACAGGAACGCATCTGTGAAAAACTGAGACGTGTGATGTAGACCTGCTGATGGGAACTCCCTCTGACAGAATGATTCAGATCGGTTCTCACGGATGGGGGGCACAAAGATAATCCACCTCTTCTGGCGTGCAGGATCTATGTGCAGGCGGGCGAACCATCTCTGAAGGCGTCTCATGTGAAGTAGGCCCAGCGGAACCACGATGTGGGCCGCTGACATCGTCCCAGGCATCGCATGACAGGCAGGCCTGTCACTATGCTGCAGGGTTTGACACGGCGGAGCTGAGATGATTGAGCTTTGGCTCTCAGCTGTGATAAACGGCTCTCATTGTATCCTGATGCATGCTCAATAATCCAGGTAGAAAAATCTAAAAAAGTTAAATCTGGTCCTCTGGACATTAAAAAAAAACAAAAAAACAAAGCAAATCAACAAAAAATGTAGAAACGTTTCGTCTCTCATCCTGAGGACTTCCTCAGTCTGAGGTGCTGTATTCAGCTCAGTCTCTTAAATAGCACCGTCTCAGAGTGGATCAACCAGTTTTGCTGCTGACAACCAAAACCAGCTGATCACATGCTCAAGAAGGACCATCAGCCTAACAATGGATCATTAGCACACTGATGGCTGTTTACTGTTCACAGAGGGCTGAGTGATACTAGCAATCACAGCATTGTAAGAGGGGGACAGTTGAACCTGGAGGCTCCACCCCTGTTTAATGATGGACGGTTTCTTTTCACAAAGATGGCCTCCTTTACTCCTCTCTCAAACCATCGTTCCTCTCTGTCCAGGATGTGAACATTTTCATCCTTGAAAGAGAGACCGCTGGCCTGGAGATGAGTGTAGACCGCAGAGTCCTGGTCTGATGATGTTGATCTTCTGTACTGGTCCATCCTTTTGGCCAGTGGCTGTTTAGTTTCCCCGATGTAAGACTGATCACAGCCCCCCTGACACTGAACAACATACACAACATTACTCTGTTTGTGCCGGGGGACTGAATCTTTGGGATGAACCAGTCTTTGCCGTAATGTATTTTGGGGTTTAAAAGCCACTGGGACGTTATGTTTAGAAAATAAACGTCTCAGTTTCTCGGATACTCCCTCAACATATGGAATGACCACTGGTCTGGGTCTGGGTTCCTCCTTTTCACCTGTTGGCTGACTGGAGTCCTGTTTGGGTTTTTTCTCTGAAACCCAAACAGGAA